TTTTTTTTTTTTTTTTTTTTTTTTTTTTTTTTTTGTGCTGGGGATTGAATTTGGGACCTTGGGCTTGTGAAGCAGGTGGCAGAACCACTGATCTACATCCCCAGCCCTCTCAGTGATTCTTTGGTTGGTGATCTCTGCGCACCCTGACTCCCAGTGCAGAAGCCGGTGGCTCGGTCCTTGCCCTCCAGGAGAATGGCTCCTGAGCCATCTTGGGTGTGCCTGGCCAGGGACACTGACATCATCTTTTGTTTTAGGGGCTGTTTTTTGTCCACACACACCCCCGCCCCCGGCGGTACTGGGATTGAACCCAGGGCCTTCTCCCTGAGCTACACCCCCAGGTCTTTTACTTTTTTGTTTTGAGACAGGGTCTAGCCGTTTTAAATTGCCTAGGCTGGGCTGAAGCCCACGATCCTCTGGCCTGAGCCTCGAGAGTGTCGGGTCCTTCTAGTTCTGTTACACATGCGTATTCTGACCACATGGCTCGTGTTGCTGCCATCCCTTTGTTTTTTGTGGGGTCAAGGCCAGCCTCAGAGGTTCATGCCGTAGGCCCCTGGGACAGAAGAGGCCCCACCTTGCGTTTATACCTGTTAGATGGTGGCGACTGCTAAGATTATCAGGAAAGGCCGAAAAGGGGGTGAGAGTTCCTGCAGGGACGGTGCGTAAGGGGACAGTTTGAGTGGGGCCTGAAGGAGCTCCAGAAGCCTGGAGTGTGGCTGGAACCATCAAGGTGAAGAGGCAGCCAGGCCTTTTGTCTACCGAGAAAGCCCTGAAGTTCCGATTGATTGGTTGATTGTTGACTTTGGCTGTGCTGGGGATTGAACCCGGGGCCTCGCAATCCCGGGCAGGCAGTCTACCACTGAGCTACAGCCTCAGTTCTTCACAGAATTTTATTTAGGGACAAATCTCGCTAAGTTGCCCAAGCTGGCTGCACACTTGCCATCCTCCTCGCTCAGCCTCCCAAGCCGCCACGGTTCTGGGTGTCGCCACAGCACCCAGCTCAGCCCCACTTCGCAAGGCCCTGCCTCGGCTCTTAGGGCCGCCTCAGGCAGTGCCGCAGATGGGGCCGTGGCAGCAGAGCTCCACTCTCCACTCTCCAATGGCTCTGCAGGCTGGAAGCCCCACACCTGGACCACAGGGTCCAGGTCTCTCTGCCTGGCCTGTGGTAGCTGCCGCAGCATGGTAGAACAGCGCGCCACTGTGCTGCAGGAGGGGTCTGGGCAGCAGTGGACACGTGTGGATGGAGCCAGGCCCCAGTCTGGGAACCTCAGGGGTGCACTAGGCCCCTTGTTCTCGGGCTCCATGCAGATCGGCACTGTCCAGACCACTGGGCTGGCTCTCCGAGACGCCAGAAAGCCACTGAGTGGGGCAGCAGCTCACTCTTCCTCCACCTGCCCCCTTTCCAGTTCCCTGACATTGTGGAGTTCTGCGAGGGCATGGCCAACGCCGGGAAGACAGTGATCGTGGCCGCCCTGGACGGGACCTTTCAGAGGAAGGTAAGGTGCCCCGGGTCCCTGGGCGGGATCAGGAGGATGGAGGGGCCTCTGGACACAGGCCACGGGTGTGCCCCTTCTCTGCCACTGCGGAGGGCCCTCCAGGTCTGTCCAGACTGGATGCCATCTGCTGTCGGGTGCTTTGACCCTGGAGAGGGACAGAGCAGGGCATGTGCTCAGCGAGGCCAGGGTTGAGGTGCAAGTTCCTCTTCCATGCTCCTGAGTCAAAGAGTGTCAGAGCAGGGCCGGGCATCTGCGCTCACCTTGTCCTCCGCGCCCGCAGGCCTTTGGCAGCATCCTGAACTTGGTGCCCCTGGCTGAGAGCGTGGTGAAGCTGACAGCTGTGTGCATGGAGTGCTTCCGAGAAGCCGCCTACACCAAGAGGCTGGGCCTGGAGAAGGAGGTGGGTCCACCTGCTTCTGGCCCTGGGGGCTCCCTTGACACCCCACCGACCCCCTTCTCTTCCTCCCTGCTGCCAGGTCGAGGTGATCGGTGGAGCAGACAAGTACCACTCAGTATGTCGCCTCTGCTACTTCAAGAAGTCCTCGGTCCAGAATGCTGGGCTGGACAACAAGGAGAACTGCCCGATGCTGCCGGGGGAGGCCTCGGTGGCCAGGAAGCTCTTTGCCCCTCAGCAGGTGCTGCAGTGTGGCCCTGCCATCTGAGGGGCCCCGCATGGCCCTGCAGAGGAGCCAGAACTGTGTGCCCAGCATGAGACAGGCCCTCCCTCCTGGCCCGCCCCAGCTGCTGGATGAGCCCCCGAGGCTGGAGCCAGCCAGGCCTTGGTGGTTTGGGGTCCACACTGCCTCCTCCTCCAGGCCACACGCTGTCGTGCCATTGGTGCTGCTGGCCACTTCCCCTTTGTGATTTTCACTTTCAAGTTTCTGTTCTCCTTGTGGTACCTGTGCCTCGCCACACACGGGCACCCCCTTGTCCATCTGAGGCCATCTCATCTGGTGGCCCCTGCTGCCCTGTGGGCTGAATCCCTTCCTACACTCAAGCTCCAGCAGTGGCTTCTCCAGAAACGACGTCCTCCTTTAAGCCCTGAAGTTTCCCCTTAAAGAGGAAGGTGCTCTTTGGGGCTGGGCCTGGCCTCTTTTTCTGCAGTTTTGACGTTAATGACCAGTATTCAAATTTAGTGACTGGTAAAGACACATTTCGCTTGGGCCTAGGTTCCTGAGTCTTGAACGCCACTTCCTTGTGATTGAGTGGGGATTTCACCCAGATCTTATTCTAGTACCCATGACCTTTTAACCTGAGCCTGATTATGAAAAAAGACTGAAGAACATGTTCTTCCTAAGATAATGGTTGTCGGCCTTTTGGTCTGTCCAGTTTTAGGATGAAGAAACCTAGGGCCCAGACTGGAAAGCCCAGGTGTTGGTGGGGTCGCCAGCCAGGGCTGGGAAGTCAGGTTGTTTGTGAAGCAGACACTGGAGTTTGGGGCTGAGGAGGGAGCTCAGCTTTATCCGGAGAGCCTAGGTCACAGCACTGGGTGCAGAAGGGTCAGCATTCCCAGTGGCCTAGCCCTCTCCCCTTTACTGTATCCCAGCTTGCTGGGGCCTGCAGCTCACAGGGCCCACTAGTAAGGAGGGGCCTAGTCATCTGTACTAGGATTTGAAACTATCAGGCCCCACTGACTACAGCTCCAGACAGTCACACAAAAGAAGACAGGAGTTGCATCAGGGGCTCTCTCCTACCTGGGGGCTCACTGGCCCAAGAAGGGGGTCCCCAGGTGCTTTGAGCCCTGACCAGGAGCGAAGTGGAGGACCTGGACCACCCCTGCTGTGGAGGAAAAGGGTTATAGGGGAGGGGTCTCAGAGAGGCAGCCCCCAGGTGTCCCCCCACCCTCCCAACACTAGGAAGGTAGCGCCTGACCCAGCAACGCAGGCCAGAAAAACCTGTCTTGTTTACAAGCTGAGCACACTGGCTATTTTAGGAGGCTGGCTGAAGGTGGGGGAAGGGGGATGCCACTCGTAGGTCAAATAGTCCTGAAGACAGCCCCCCAAGCATGCACCTGAGGAATCCTACCTGCTACCTCTAGGCTGAGGCCGAACTCAACAGTGGAAACCAAAACATTTATTCCATCTACAAACCAGTCTTAACAATCCAAGGGCAAGGGGTATCTTCCCGAGGCTTTTTCATACATTCCAATAGTCTGGGGGCTGTGGCTCTCCCACACTTGGCAACTGAAGTTTGCAGAATATTTACATAAAGCTGGGTGTTATGTCAGGCAGAGCCCCTCCCTGCTGCCAGGGGTGGGAGCAAGGAGGAAGGGCCATGGGTCCCCCAGGTGGGCACCAGCCCCACACCTGCGGCTATCAGAGCCCGCCCAGACGTGATTGGCACAGAGTGACGGGCCTCAGAGGACACAGCAGAAGCCCAGCCTGAGTGGGGCATGGCATGGGATTGAAGGCATCGAGGTGGAGGCGGCAAACCTGAGTGAGAAGCCTGAGCCCAGCACCGAAGAGAGGTGTGAGGCTGCCGGCCCCATCTTTGGCAGAAAGCCCAGCTGGCCAGCTGTCGGCCTTGGGGCAAGGGGGACACTGAGGCACTTGTCAGAACAGCACAGTGTGGTTCCTGGCTGCTACTGGCAGATGGGGCTCAGGGAAAGCAACACGGGGCTGGGAGTGTAGCTTGGTGGCCAAGCGCCTGCCTAGCATATGTGAGGCCCTAAGTTTCAACCCCAGCACCGAAAGGGGAAAAAAAAGCAACAAGAGAACAATCTAGCTAACCTTTCCTCAAAAATGCCCTTGAGTGGGTGGGTGATAAAGCCCTCAGACACAGGCACATAGGGTGTACGGGCACGGAAGGCCAGGACTCCAGGTGGTCAGCTGGGACAGGAGAGGGGCTACAGCTCCCGGGAGCCAAGACCCGGGGGGAACCGGGATGCCCTGCCCTGCCCTGCAGCGCCACTCAGTACACAGGGGGCGGCTGGTAGCCCTCTGTGGTGTCTGCGTTCTGGGTGAAGGGGGGCTGCTGGTAGCTGTCCACCGATGCGCTGGGGTAGGAGGCATAGGCTGTGTTGGGGTCCGGGGTAGGGTCCACATAGTTCTGGATGAAGGCGTCCACTCCAGCCTTGTAGCGCTGGTAGGCCAGGGAGGCCAGCGTGCCCTGCAGGAAGGAGAGAGGGGGGCAGGGCGCTGGGTGGAGGATCCATCGCCATGTCCCCATCCACTGGTCCCGAGTGCCACCCCAGCCTACTCACCCAGGAGAAGATGGAGAAGAAGCTGAAGGTGATGGCTGCCCGGGCTGAGTCACCTCCCACCAGCACATCCTCAGGCCTGGTGGCTGCCCACTGGTTGGTAAGGAAGCAGAAACCAACAAACCACAGGAAGGTCCAGACAGCTGGGGAGAGGGTGTGGGGTTGGCTCCAGGGAGGGACAGGGGCTTTCCAGGGACCCAGGAAGGACAGTCTTAAGGCAAGGATCTCCCAGAGCCTGGGGGTGTATGCACTGCAGAGGCAAGAGGTGAGGGCTAAGGGGGAGGCTGCCAGGAGGATCTACCTCGGGCCCACTGCAGCAGATTTCAGCAGACTCCGCAAGCCTACAGCGTAGCCCGAGGTGGACAGGTGAAGCCTGCCTGCTCAGTGGGGCTGGTGACCCTGTCCTCCCTCCGGCACTGTGGGGCCCTAACATCCCAAGGGCCAGGCATGGCAGGCGGGTACCTGAGAAGAGCAGGTCACCAATGACCAGGTACTTGCGGTCAGTGGCATTGCTGATCTGGGGGAAATAGATATCAACTACGAAGAAGAAGCCTGAGGCCAGGAAGGCCAGCACCCCGATGGCAGAGCCGTAGCGGCAGGCGTCCTCGTTGTGGTTGAAAACACAGTACATCTGATCAGAATCGTGCGTGTTGCTGTAGCCTTCGCCGAAGATGCAGGAGAACACAATCAAGGCGAAGACCTAGGACAGAGAGGATGCTGCAGAATGGGTGCCACTGCCCAGCTCCGAGGGGCACATCCGGAAGGGATCCCGGCAGGGTGTGCACACTCGCCTGTCCCACCACCGCTGCCCTTCCTTCTGAACTGCCTGCAGTGGGCCGAAGGGCGAGGGGCTCCCCGGGATCCCCAGACAACAATCTCCCAGTACCAAGGGCCTGCGGGGGATTCCTGGACTGGGGAGGACAGGGACGGCTGGGGATCTCCTGGGAGGGATTCCCCCTGCCAAGCTGTCTGCTGCAGCGTCACCTCCTTGTTTTAGGTTTTTTTAGGCTCGTGATGGGAACACAGGGCAAGCTGCACATCCCCACTTTGAGTTTTAAGCAATACAGGCTACAAAGTCTGAGTGTCACCTGCTCCCCACTTCATTCCCTGGTTTGAGAGCCACTTCCACTTTTCCAACTTCTACCAGAACACCCTGCTGGAGGGCACCCTCAGCTCTGGAAAGCCATGCCAAGGCCCCTGGGGGCTCCTACCTCTCCAAGACCCCTCCAGGCACCAGCCCTGGCCCTTCTAGCTCCCTGGTCCAGACAGGACTCCCCAGTCCTGCCAGCTTCCTCCCTACAAGGACTTCCGGCCTCCCTGGCATCCTGGTCCCGCCCATCTCGGAGTACAGTCTCCCTACTTCCCACAGCGGCCCTGCCCACACCAGGTGCTCCAGGTGGCCTGACGACAGGGCAGACACAGTATGCTCAGACCCCTGGAGCGAAGAGGGGGGCTTGAGTGAGCACAGCCCAGCTGGAACTGCCCGGGAGATTCCAGCCCCTGGGGAGCAGACCATGTCCCCTGGCTTCCTCCCAAAATTCATGGCCACCGTTCATGCTCTGCCCACCTCAGCTGATTTAGAGTGGTCTGTGGTGGGCACTTGGCTCCCTCCAAGGCCGCCCGCCCCAGGACCCACTGTGCCGGCTGGGAGCTCCATAGGGCTCTGGAGCCACCAGTCGCAAGCCCCACCCCCAGCTGGAGAAGCCGGAACTCTGGGCGCAGGGAGCAGAGTGTTCACAGGACTCCTGGCACCGCCATCCTGACCACAGGGCATCTGGGCCAAGGCCACAGCCCAGAGCGGCCCGTAAGATCCCACAGTCGGCTGGCGTCCCCGGCAGCGCCCCCGGCCTGACAGGCTCCCCACACCTGGTAGCAGGGAGCCTGCCCAGCACAGTCCTGGGTGGGCACGCGGAGTCCCAGCTCCGGGGCGAGGGACCCCGCTTAGGGAGCC